AGTTTGTTTGTTTTAGTAGGAAGAATATGCAATCGCAGCACAACAAGCAGGTCCTAAACAGATTTAAGAGTCAAAGAACTTTATTTCATTATAATAGTTTGGACTGAAAACTTTGCCTTTCAAAAGTTATCTTCTGATGTGGGGTTTCAGACATTTTACTCATTATCTTTCGAGATTTGAAGTGTTTGTAAATTAGTTGTACTTCAATTCCCTACAACTATAGACATTTCTGTCTTTGACAAGTTTATATTATAAAAATAAACACCAAGTCTGATCATTGTTTCTGATATTTAAACTTATAATTGATATTAACTGCTTTCCATGCACTAAAAAGAGAAATAATTTATTTGAATTATAAAGTGATAGATACAATGTTTAATTTTAAAGGAAACATTAGTTACAAACAGCCTTGTATGGTTTATGGGTTTCTGAGTATCAAGATAGAATATTTATTAAGAGGAAAAATAAATTGAACAATTGTCAGGCAACAATACTATTACTTAAAGTTGGGATAATTTATATGGCAACTGTTAGAATGATTTCATAGACTAACTCCTAAAAGGTTACACTATTTAAGGCAAAGAACAAATAAACATATAATTTGTTTTACTTGTATCTGCTTGCATGTTAATAGCTTGAGAATTGACAATGCTCTGATCATGGATAAAGGATGTGCTTGACTGTGATGATTTGCAGTAATGTTGTAATGAAGAATAATAATGGGTTTTTATTATTTATGTTATGCATTGGACGTTGATATTTTGATAAGTGCAAAGTTTGTGCAGATCGTACTACTCAGGAAGTAAGGAATTCATGAGCACAAGAAAAGAAAGCAGGGTCAACAAAAATGATGAGGCAATGGAAAACGAAGATATTGTCCTATGGGAAAATAGAAGCTCTAAGAATGGGTTAGGTAATCTTCAAAAGCATTAAGTATTTGTTGACACAATGAATGTTTAAAAGTGAAGTAAGAATACATTGTGGTACGAAGAACACTAGCTTTTGTTTCAAACTAGCCTGGACCCATACAGCTATAAGGCAAAAGAATGATTGTTTATGATAGATTAATTATTGAAGGAATAAGAGGAGTAATCCTCAGTCAAGTCATTTCAATTACATTAATTTGGTCCTTTCACAGTACAGGGTGAATTCATTTGTAATCAACAGGGGATGTTACTGGCTGTAGTCAGACAGAATATTTGTTTCCTGAAAAATAGAAATAAATGTGGTTTTTATAGTGGACATGTTCTTCAATGCTTATGTGTGAGATTGGATAATAAGAGTGATATGTAGGTTGTATGAGGAAAGAAGGAAGGAAAAACATAAAACAATAAAGTGAGGTGTTATGGGTAAGATCGGGTATCATGTAAGTTTAGTGAGGGCCAGAGAAGTGTTGATCGGGTCAGCACATTAATAATTTTCTCTTGGCAATGTTTATGCATTTATCTGAAGTATTTTTAAGAGGCTACAAAGACAATGAACTGATTCCCTTTCACCTTGAACTATAAATATTTAGCAACATGTTCTTATGGACTTTGATGGGTGATGTTGGCTGGGGGCACAAGGTCTCATAACTCAAGCAGAATATACAATCTCAAACTGTCTCGATGATATGACTGTTGCTGTTTCCATCAGAATAAGATCCCTATGTCAAATTTCCATATAGAGCTATTCCACGGCTCGGTTGTTGGAGAGTTCCATGTCCCACTCTATGGAGGAAAATGTTAAAATGTCATTAGTGAGTGATGCAAATCCTGACTGCTCATGCTACTAAGGAACTGCTCTGTTTCTTATGTTCCACATGCAGGCTCATTGCAGGAGGCTTGCTATGTTTCAATCCACAGCACGGTTAGCATCACTGTTGCTATGACAAAGTTTAAAAGACATTTGGCTGAATACATGAATAGGAAAGGTTTGGAGGGATATAGGCCAGGAGCAGGCAAGTGGGACTAGTTTTAGTTTTGGATGATGTTCAGCATGGACTGGTTCTAGCAAAAGGGTCTGTTTCCATGCTGTATGATTCTATGACAATAAAGATGCACAGAAATGGAGAAGGAACAGGTGTGCCACGAAGCCCAGAAGCAGCAGCAGCCTCCAGCAGAAGCTGAACAGCGTCCACAAGAAGAAGTTAAAGATCCCCTCAGGATGTGCAGATGACCCAGAGTCTATCATCCTCAATTCCATTTCCTCTAGATGGGTGAACCACAGACTGAGAATGTTCTGGGACACCATCCCAGAACTGTGCCAACCTCTGGAACAGGACCTGTGCCCTCTCAGGGTGGTTGGCCATCCTATTCCTGGTGGCTGTTAAGGTGAGAGCTGCACTAAATATTTATGCAACTGGTTGCTTCCAAGTATCCACTGGAAAGCTGTGTGGGATCTCTCAATCCTTAAACTACAAATGTATCAAGGCTGCTACCCAATGTAATTTGGGCAAGATATCACTGTTTCAACACATTTCCCTGTAACAAGGCCAGTGCTGCAGCCTGGGCTGCAGGCATCATCAATATCAATAGCTTCCCCCAGGTACAGGGTCCTATAGACTATATACACACTGCTTATAGACGGCCATATCATAAACAAACAGTGTTCATCAAGAGAAAGGGGTTTCATTCAACCAATATACAAATCATCTGTGATCATCAGTAACACATCTTAGAAGTCTGAGCCAGGCAAAGTGGGAGCTGCCATGATGTCAATATCCTTGAGACTTTTTATGTACCAGATTCATTACAAGAGCCGGGTGCCTTACACAGACAGTTACAGAAAAGTAAGCTCGACTTTCTGCAACCATGGCTGATGACTCTAATACACAACCCGCTGATTGCGTTGGAGTGCAGATACAATGCAGCCCATTCTTCAATCATGATCATTGTGGAGCAGATGTTCAGTAATTTAAGGATAAAATTTAATACTTGGATTGGTCTGGGTGGAGTGCCTTACGTTACACTTCAGATTGGGTCTGCCACATAACTTTGTATGCTGCGCTCTGTATAACTGGGGCGAGCAAACGGTGGATATGTTGGATGCTGAAGAGCTGGTAGAGTGGCAGCAGTCTCTGGAGGCATTTTGGTACAACAAACAGAGGTAGGACTTAATTAATGGTAGGGCCTTGGATAGTGTTGTAGAACAGAGGGACTTCAGGGTTCAGGCACATAATTCTTTGAAGTTTGCATCACATTTAGATAGGGTGATTAAAAAGGCATTTAGCATGCTTGCCTTCATTGCTCAGGCCTTTTTAGTATAGGAGTTGGTAAGTCATGTAGAAGTTGCACAGGACATTGGTGATGCCTCTTCTAGAGTACTGTGTACAGTTCTGGTCACTCAGTTATAGAAAGAATATTATTAAGCTGGAGAGGGTTCAGAAGAGATTTACCAGGATGCTGCCAAAGTTTGAATTATGAAGGAAGAGTGGATAGGCTGTGACATTTTTCAGTGAAGTATAGGAGGTTGAGAGTTGACATGAGAGAAGTTTATAAAATAATGAGGAGTATAGATAGGGTTAATAGGTTATAGGTAGGTGTCTTTTCCTTAGGATGGGGGATTTCAAAACTGGGGGCACATTTTTTAGGTGTGAGGAGAGAGATTTGAAAAAGATATGAGGGGCAATTTTTTGATTAATGTGTGAAATGAACTTCCTGAGGAAGTCGTGGTTGTTTTAAAGACATTTGGAGAAATACATGAATAGATTTGGAGGGATATGGGCCAGAAGCAGGCAGGTGGGACTAGTTTAGTTTGGGATTCATGATGTGGAGATGCCGGCATTGGACTGGGGTGAACAAGGTCAGAAATCACATGACACCAGGTTATAGCCCAACAGGTTTATTTGAAAACACAAGCTTTCAGAGTGTAGTTCCTTCATCAGGTGAAGTTGGAAAGAAGCACAGAGAACATGGAATTGAAAAGTAAAAGATCAAAGGGTCACAAAACTGATGAAGATGTATTAAACAAACCTAAGAAGCTGTTAAATCTTTAATCAGTTAGAAGGTTTTAATTGATTACTATGTATATGGAAATCCCCAAATTTCTTTCAAGTCACTGCCCTGAGAGAACTAAAGGTTTTATCAGTGTTAAGAAGAGGTGAAATTTTAGGTCAGACAATGCATATTAGGTGTTCAGAATCTGTTTGAGTTTTAGTTTGGAGTCAGACTGGTTTTATTTCCAAAGTAGGAATTTATAAAATGCCACATTGTCTATAAATTGTGTGTTTTTTGAACAAAATATAATGTATCTGCAAATACAAATTCACCCCATAGATTTATTTGTGCGTGTGTGTGTGCTCGCATGCGTGAAGGGGGAAGAGAAACGGAGAGAATGTGTGTTGGGGGGGCGCGGAAAGAGTGTGGACGTATGTTGGGGGGGCGGGGGGAGAGAAAGTGTGAGCGTATGTGCGTGAGACAGAGAGAGAGAGCAGGGGAGAGTGTGTGGGGTGGGAAGAGGGAGAGAGAGAGAGTGATGTGTTTGCGCACAATCCAGAGTGTTCTATTTGCTTGCAGTGTGTGGAGCATTATTCAATAAACCTGATACAATCAAACAAATACAGCAATTGTTTTTCTTTCATCAACAGTTTGTTGAATGTACAGTTTGTGTCAGTGTAACTAATTGCCTGTGAGCCTAAACCTGTATTCTCGAGTAATCAACCACATACGCCTTGCTTGTGTGTGTGTGTGTGTTTGAGAGAGAGAGCATGCCAGAATGGGAGCGGTAATTTGTATAAGACTGTGGAATGAGAGTCCGAGCGTGTGAATGAGTGCGATGATGAAAGTGTGTGAATGTGAAAACCTTGATTTTTGTCCTCCAGCCACTGAGACCAGAACCTTGTGATTGAAAAGTGAGAGTGTCACCAACTGAGCCACAGCTCCAAAATGTGACCTTTTTGGTGAAGGGACAAAAATCAGCAACATTTTTCGATTTTTGCTTTGCCAGTGATTCACACCCCGGAAGTTAATTTCAAATGTTCATTTTTCCATGTGGCAACATGTCAGTGGGAGGAACTGCGCCTCATTCAAAAGCGAATGGGCTGGATTTTGCAAACAGCAGCGAGGCAGCTGCATTCACCCATAACAACTTAAACTGCTCTCAAGTTCTGGAAATCACAGAAAGTTAACATGTAAATGCTGCAACCAAAGAAGAAAGAAAATGGTATGTTGTTCTGTTTTGAACATGGGTTGGGGTGTGAGAGAAATTAAATCTAGCTCCCAGTTTTGGTATGACCAGTTTTGGTGTACTGTGTGTAATTCTCATTTCCTTACCCGAAGGAATGAAATATGCACTAAATTGATTCCTTCGTTAATAGGACTTCCTATAAATAAAATTGAGTTGAATGGTTAGCTTTTTGCTGGAATTTCGAAGAACGAGAGGTTATCTCTTTTGTAGATATAAAATTCTGAAAGGATTTGACAGGATAAAATGTGAGAGGCTGCCCCTCCGTCCTGGAAAGTATAAAGACAAGGAAAATAGACTCAGCATTGTGGAGAGAGAGAATAGTCTCAGCTCAGGGGTGAGGGGGAAGAGTTTCAGCATAGGGGATTAATCACTGAGGCTGAGATAGTGAGAAATTTTGTCAAAGGGCTGTGAATATTTAAAAGTTCTCTTACACAGACGGTTCTTTGCTCAGCTAATAAATACATTCAGGTATGAGATTGATCGATACTTGGACACAAAGGGGAATGAGAGATCGGAGTCTGGAGGATGGGGAACTGGTGTTGCAATTGAACAGTCATCTGGATCTTATTGATAGTGGAGCAGAATGAGGGACTGTATTTATATTTTCTCCTTTTATAGGATCAGCCTTCCTAGATGAAGAAAAGGACAAACTGACATGATGCAGGAGTGGAGAATAAAATCTTCAGATTTATTGAATCTTCACAACTTCAAACTTGCCTCAGGTAATACGTGTTAATGGTGACAACCCATCCTACGGTTTACAATGCATATGTACAGGGAAGATTAACCTGATAACCTGTCAATATGAATATACGTATTTAACTGAGCCAGTAAAATGTGGCTGCTGAATGGAAAACTCAGAGATTGCCTGTCATACTCACATCCCTTCCACTTATTCCACAAATATCCACAGCATTGCAACAGGAGTCAAAACTGCTCCAATGTTGTCGCTCACCAGTACCGGAGCTACATTCAGACTCCATTAACCAGCGAATCCTTCCAGCTCTCATCAAGCATCCCCTTGGTTTAGTTGCTAAATTACAGTATCTTCTATAAGAGAGTTAGCATATGCTAATATCCCATTGTGGTATTCCATTTTAAAGCAAAATCTTGCTAAAATAAACCTGTATTCCTACCTGAGATAATAAAGTGTAGAGCTGGATGAACACAGCAGGCCAAGCAGCATCAGAGGAGCAGGAAGGCTGATGTTTCGGGCCTAGACCCTTCTTTAGAAATGGGGGGGTGGAAGGGGGATC